ATTTATTTTTAAAAGGTCGCAGTAAGAAAATTTCGTTAGAATTCATAACTTCATTATCTGACGTCTGTTTTTGCCAGACTTTTTACCATTGAAAAACCATTGTCGAGACCTTCGATTCTCATTTAGGTCATTCCGGTCAAAAGTTGCTCGATCTCCGTTTCGAGTTTGTAGCTGTCCGTTGCTAAGCCGAACTTGGAAAATTCATAACTTCCTTATACGAAGTTAGATTTGGGCGTTCTTTTTACGTACGATCACGTTTAATGACATCTAACGTAATAGGTAATTTAATTAGTGATTTTTGGACAATTTATTTTCGAAGTTAATTTCATTATAACAAACGTGGTTACAATACTTGACTTTTTAGGTTGTTACATAGAGTTAAAATATCGAGTTGTCACATTTACCATTTAGACAACTCCGTACATGTGTTTAAATTTCACAACATCATAATATAATAGATATTAAATCCATATAAAGCTATATAAAATAAGGATGCCAAAAAGTCCCGTGGGACCCCGTTCCCGTAGGGGTCCGTCCTGTTTGGGGGTTTTTTAGAAAAAAAATCGGGGTGGGGGTAGGCAATCCCATCCCGAAACCCACATGAGGATCCCGTTAATAAATTACATATATATTTACATATATTAATTATATAAATATAATAAATAATAACATGATTTCGAGCTTTCAAAATTCATCAAAAACATGTTTTTAAGTTGTTAGTATGTTTTTAAGATGCCATAAATTTTTTATTTTTAACATGTAAAATTCTGCTATAAATAATTATTTGTTGCCTAAAAAATAATTTCTTTTAGCCTAAATAACAACTTCGTTTATCCCAAAAAAAATATAGCCCAAAATCAATTGGGGGGGGGAACGGGGGCGAGGGCGGGGGTAATAAAGGGGATTCGAGGGCGAGGGCGGGGGTAGGAAGACTGAACATTTCGGGGGCGGAGGCGGGGATGGGGGCGGAGGATGCACTCCCTGTCCCGTTTGCCCCCGTGACATCCCTAATATAAAATGAGCTACGAAAAAGTAGGTTGACCCTACAAAAAAACAATTTGTTCCCTTAAAAGGTACGAAAAAAAACTTTAAGTACTGAAAATGTAAAGTCAAAACACATAACATGGTCGTTTCGTCATTCAAAAAAAATTTAAATACCTGAAACTGAAAAGGTAAAGTTAAAATACATAGTAAGGCTGTTGCATCAATTTATATATATATATATATATATATATATATATATATATATATATATATATATATATATATATATATATATATATATTGAAGTAATAAGGATTGAAAATAACTTTTCAAAATAAAAAATGGCATAAATTGAAAATAAGTTTTAACCAGGAGGATTAGAGATATAAAAATTGTTTGATAAAGTGGTTGTTTAATGTGACGATAAAGTGATTGTTCATGGGACGTAAAGTAATAATCGGTAGATATTAATGTGCAAGTGAATAATATATATATATATATATATATATATATATATATATATATATATATATATATATATATATATATATATATATATATATATATATATATTAAGTCCCATCAAATTGAGTTTTTTAACCAAAGTCAAAATGGTTTTGAGGTTAAAGCGGTTTTTGACATAGCAACACGCTGTACAAATTTGTTCAAAATGATAACTTTTAACAAAAGTTTGCATTTCCTAAAAATATTAATTGAAAATGACAACAGTTTATGACAATTAGCTTTACTTTTTTAAAAATAAAAACCGATGTTTTTAATTTTATCCCAAAATGCTTTTCGACTTTTAGCTTTAACAAAAAAAAAAAAAAAAAAAAAAAAAAAAAAAAAAAAAAAAAAAAAAAGAAACCATTCACTTTTATTAAAAAAAAAATGTCTTATTTTTTTTATCCCAAAACAAGTTTTTTAAGCAAAAAATCGCACATTTTACTGTTAATTGTTATTTAAAAATATTTATGGAAACTTGTAGTTTATATATTAATTGAAGAAAATTTTAAATGGACGTAGCAGATAAACGAGACAACGAGTAACAAGTTTTCGAAAAAAATTATTTTCGAAAGAAATTAATCAACATCCGCCGCATTAGACGTTAAATGGAATTTAAATTAAAACCGTTAGAAAGACTAAACAAATTACAAATTACACTACGGGCTAAAACTTTCATTTTATGACATTCATAATAAAAGTAAGGACTAAGGAGAAAAAGTCATTGTCGAACGCAACATATTGATCAAAACGAAAATATTTGACGAATGTGGAAAGGAAACTTATCGCGTTTTAGAAACTAACCAGCGAAAGGAACTAATCATTGCAGCTGCATCGTGTATGTATTATACATGTTTTATGGAATATGACATGTTTATATGAAACACAGACCAAAATATTATAAGCAAAACACCCCCACATGCATATACATTATGATGCTAATTTTTAATAAAGCGTTTTTTTTTTATTTTTTATTTTTATTTTTATTTTTATTTTTATTTTTATTTTTATTTTTTGATGCAGTTATTCAACCGCTTCAAAAAAATATAGCATCATAAAATAGTGTTGTTTTTTGAGGCGGTTCTACAACCGCCTTAAAAAATATCCAAAACCACCTCATAAAAATAGCTTCATAAAATAGATTTATTTTTTGATGTTGTCCAAAACCGCCTTAAAAAATATAGCTTAATAAAATAAACTTATTTTTCGATGCTATTATTGAATAGCATAAGAAAATAAATTGCCTTTTAAAATACAATACTAATGGCAACATAAAATATCATCAATCATTTGTTGATGCTATTAGTCAACAACATTAGAAAATGTAGAACCGCCTTATATAGATAAGAAAGGTGCCAATCTCACTTGTTATTTCATTTTCTTATGATTGCTACTTTGGCCTTGTATTCTTCCCTCAAGATTCTTCTGTAAATCAATCACACTTGATGAACTCACGTTACAAATAAGACATATCCACTCCATTTTCTTCTTTAAAACCTCACTTGAACCTGCAATAACTAGTAATGACGGTGGTGGTGGTTTCTTATCTTTTTCTGAATCATTTGGAACACATTCAGATGAGTTCTCAGCAGAATCCATGGATTTGACTAGGTTTTCGTAGGTCAAATATGTCACTTTGGCTTGATGTTTCTTTCTTGCAAGATGTTCTAGTAAACCACGCTCAGATATGCACTAATTTTCCCGATCGAACACCTCCTCTCTTCATTGCCAACATCTCTCTTCCCATCATCATTTCCTTCTTTACTTCTGCCTCCTAAATGTAAATATGCTCCACATCCTCTAGTATAATCTTCATGCTGAATCACTTTTCTTATATCTATTGATCCTCCTTGAAAATTCATAGAAATCCCAGTTTAAATAAAAGAAAAACAACACAAAACATGATTATTTCAACTATACTTAATGAAATCGAAAAAAGTCACGAAATTGAATAATGCTCTTTAACTGAATAGTTAATGTGATCAATATTGTGTACCTTCCATAGCCTTTTTTAGGGAAAAAAAAATACTATAGTTGGAAGAAGTTGATGCAGAAGGTGTAGGACATACTTGATTGCGTTCATTTTGAGACCAAATCCTGGCATCCTGAAATCTACTGCTACAAGGATGGAGATATTTAGGGTTTTGCACTAGGGAAAAGTTTAGTCGAAGTAAAAGAGATGACGATGAATTCTTTGGAGTAATTTACCATTTTTGAAGAAGAAGTAGAGGACTTAGTGGTTTCATCAAATACGAAATGGAGATAACCAGTAATGTTTAGGAATATGAATGGTTGATGAAGCCATAGATTTATGAGGGGTCGGTTGGATTTCAATCACAAAATTTTCCAGTAGGAGGGAAACCTAGGTCGGAGGGAGATTAGAATTTTTTTTAAGGCGAGAGGAACTTAGGTTTAGGGGGAGATTAGAATTTTTTGACCGCCATTGGGGGGAAATCCGCTGAAAATATTAGAAAGTTAAAACGAAAATTTTAGAGGGAAAGATTATTTGGGGCGGTTTTAGGTTTTACTGATGCGATTTGTGTGGAATTTGGTGGTGGCTATGGAGGGTTGTTAGAAAGCTAAAACGAAAATTTTAGAGGGAAAGAGATAAAGATTTAAAGATGTTTTTACATGAAGTAGCATTAAAAAATATTAGTGTTTTCATTTGATGCATTTTTCAAAATATAGCATCAAAAGATAAAGATTTAATAATGCTATTTTATAAAAAGAGCATCAAAAAATCCTTATTTAATAATGCTTTTTACATGAAGTAGCACTAAAAAATCTTTTTTTTGATGTTATTCGCTGTTAACCGCCTTAACAAAAGCTTCTGAAAATTTATCTGGTGCTTTTTTAAAGCGGCTCGTATATTATTTAATGCTCTATACATTTAATGAGGTGGTTTTTACCATCAACCGCCTCAAAAATAAAGAATGGTTCGCATTATTAAATTACTTGTGTAGTAGTGATATATATATATATATATATATATATATATATATATATATATATATATATATATATATATATATATATATATATATATAAAGTGACAAACCACATTACCGTTCTTTGAGTTTTATTTATATAAATTAAATTAACAAACAAAAACTGGCAATAGCACGTCTCATGGGTCGTGTGGTGGATACTAACCAACTCCTTAATTACCAAGTGTATCTGAAAGTATAATTTATTGGGCAAGTGGATCTGAAATGATATTTTATTAGGTAGGAAATATTTCTGTAGCATATGATATTAAATACCGATGGTTCTTAAAGCACATGCTAGTTTTATAATGCTATTTTCGCAAGCTGGTAACTAGTTATTTTCAAATAAATAAACAATACGCTATGTAATGGTAGGTAAGGAGGAAAGGAGAGAGAGTTGACTTTGAGCTTACAAGTTATATTGCTAAGCAACGATAGATGCAATGTCATCTCTTTCAGGCACTTAAGCTTTAATTCTTTGAAAGTCCAAGCCTTGTTTCCTATTTTTCGTGCATCTTCAAAACCATGTCTGTCCAAAAACAGTTTGAACACCTCAGAATACAATTCGAAGCTATACAATCAGCAACCAACAACTTTGCCAAAGACCATCTCATTGGGCAAGGAGATTTCGCAAGTGTTTACAAGGGAGAACTCCTCCTTTCCCAGGGGCCTACCATGGTTGTTTTAAGACGTTTAGATAAAAGATACCGGCAAGTAGGCACTGAGTTTTGGAATCAGATCCTAATGTTTTCTGTTTACAAGCATGAAAACCTTGAGTCCATCTTAGGATTTTGCGATGATAGAGGCCAGAGCATCCTTGTATATGATTATGCATCCAAGGGAGGTCTGGACATGCATCTCGAGAGCAATGATCTAATGTGGGTCCAATGCCTTAAGATATGCATTGGGGCAGCTCGTGGACTTGCATTCCTTCATAATCCTACGGCCCAGGAAAGTGTATTGCATCGGGATATTACAAGTAGTAACATCCTTTTAGATGAAAACTGGAATGCCAAGATCACAGATATTGGGTTTTCCAATGTTGTTCGTACTCAACAAATATATTCATTTCTTGTTACTACTTCTGTTGGAACGTTTGGGTATACTGATCCTGAATATATGGAGACCGGGAACCTAACAAAGGAGTCAGACGTGTACTCCTTTGGTGTGGTGTTGTTTGAAGTTTTGTGTGGGAGGTTGTGTATGGCCAAGAAAGGTGATCATGACCCTAGACCTTTAGCTGCATTGGTAAAAGATCTTTACAAACAAAACAAGCTACATGAAATTATCTTTGGTAACATAAAGGACGAAATAAATCCTACTTCTTTGAATGTGTTTTCTTCGATTGGCTTTCGATGTTTGAAGAGGCGCGGTGCAGATCGTCCGCAGATGAGCGAGATCCTTAGAATACTAGAAACCGCACTTGAGTATCAAGTATGTTGCTTTTTTCTTTTCTGCTCCATCGTATTTTGTGATCATCTTAATCTGTTTTTTTATTACAACTTAGTACTAAATCTACACTTTGTTAAGGTTTCACCTCAACCTTTAAATAAGCTGTCGAATCAGAGATCCGTAAAGCATATGCATTGGGAGAAGACCCGTGACACGGAGGGAGCTGAAATCGTTGATTCGGTTAGTTGAATTCGGCCAAGCATTATATGTCATTTATGTCAATTGCATCATCATGTTTCTTGATGAAAAATGTATCAGTAGCTTCTTATCCATCAAACTATAATTTCTAGGAAACTTTTTAACTTATTTTTCAACAATTGCAGTCGAGCACAAACACAAAGTCCTTTGTCATGAAAGAGTTTCAGCACCTCAGACTTCCTCTTGGATTCATACAAGAGGCCACGAACAACTTTAATCAGGGAAACTTCATTGGGGAAGGGGGGTTTGGGAAGGTATTTAGAGGAGAATTCTTCTACTCAGATCAGGGTGAGACCATCGTGGGTGCTGTAAAGTGTTTGGATCGTTCAAAAGATCGAGCAGATGTTTCATTTTGGAGCGAAGTCATGTTGCTTTCCACTTATAAACATGAAAATATCATCTCACTCCAAGGATTTTGTGATGATTTCAAGGAAAGGATCATTGTTTACAAGTATGCATCAAACAAGAGCCTTGATCGCTATCTGAATGACCCCAACCTCATGTGGACTCAACGTCTCAAGATTTGTCTTGGGGCTGCATGTGGCTTGGAGTACCTTCACAATCCCAAGGGCACCTAGCAAAGAATCTTGCACCGTGATATCAAAAGTGCGAACATCTTGTTAGACCGAAATTGGAATGCTAAAATTGCAGATTTTGGCCTATCTAGATATGGACCTGCCAACCAACAACACACGTTTCTTTTCTCTGATGCCAAAGGCACTCTTGGTTATTGTGATCCGATGTACATAGAAACAATGTTATTGACCAAAGAATCAGACGTCTATTCTTTCGGTGTCGTACTATTTGAAGTTTTGTGCTCAAGGCTTTGTGTTGATTATACTTATGATGATTACCGCCGATCCTTACCCGTATTGGTGAACAAGTGCTATCATGAACAATCACTTGATACAATTGTTGATATAAATCTAAGGAATCAAATGGAGCAGAATTCTTATGATATGTTTGTATCACTGGCGTATCAATGTTTGGAAAGAGATCAGAAGAAGCTCCCGTCAATGGGCTCTGTAGTGAGCAAGCTTCAAACTGCACTCGAATACCAAGTATGATGTTCTATTGCTCTTGTCTTTGACTTTGTATTGCTTGGCAGAAAACAAAAAAAATCTTACATATACAGTTTATATAATATGGTTGGAAACAACTATCTAATAAAAACGAAAGGCAATCATCGAATGGATAGATTTCCGATGATTTAATGTGTTTTTCTCATTATAAGTTATGTAATAACTTGCTTTATATATGTTGGTTTTCATAGGTACAAAGTGACGTCCTAGCGAAAAATGTCAATGTGGCATCGTCTTCAAGGCCATCCTCTACTTCGGATGACATCCCAAAAACAAGTACCCTATCCCTATGACACTAGGAACTGAGAGGGGTTTTGAAATTACTTATCAACTTATTTTTTTTTGGAGAAGCCAGAAATTTATGGCTTTTTGAAAAAGTCATTTTTTACACTAAAAACCAAACATTGTTTTAATTTATTGGCTTTTTGAAAAGCCAATAAGTTAATAAGTCATTTTGAAAAACACCCCTGGATAAGTCAAACATAATGTTTGAAAGTGACTTGTCAATTAGTCGAATAATGAATTTAAGTGAAATGGGGGTATTTATATACTTCTCACTTATCTAGAAAGGTCTTTTGACCTCTTTTATAGGCAAGACTAGGAAAGACATTGGCCTTTTTTGGAGTATAATTTTACATTTTATAATTAGTTTCACTTATGTTTCTTTCTTTTTGATGATACATTATATGTTTCTATTCTGAGAAATATTAACAACCGATTTTTTGTTAATTTAATCATTCTTTTTGTTATTTTCTGTAGATGTTAAATTGTAAAAGTCGAATTGAGTGTTTATTTAGTTTTCGCATTTTTAGTTATTTTACTAAGTCAGTTTTATGCGAAGCGTATTGTAATAGACTTAGTATACTTTTTGTACACTCAGGTTCCCTATAAATAGGGACTGAGGATAGAAGTAGAGGATAACTTTTGGGAAACTCAAATATCCTTTCTGCTTATGATTGTAATCAGTCTTTATCAATATAAATCTGATTAATATTTACTCTTCGTGTTCTTACTTTTCAATCACTCAAATCATAATTGCTTTCATAATCTCGATAACAATTCTCATCAATTGGTATCAGAGCAGGATTCAAACTGCATCGATCTGATTTTCGTGTTAGAATCATTTGCTTTTTGAGTAACAAATTTACTCAAAATTTTCCGCGCATTTTGGTTTTTGAAAATCAAATTTGATCTTCAGATTTGAATTGATTATGTCTTTGAATTGTTTAGTCGAGTAATCAATTAGCAATTTGTGATCAATTCAGTTAATCAATTCTAAAATTCATCAAGTTTTTCAAGCTTTCTAAAAATTTCTGTGTTCATCAATGGCGAACTTCAACATGAATACGAAGACTTCCTTCTATCACTTGCTTGGTTCCTCAACCAAAATTCCGATGTTAATTCCTGAATACTATGATTAGTGGGCTGATGGAATGGAGGATTACTTAAATGGAATTGATAAAGAACTTTGGAATTGTATTGAAGGAACAGTGCAAGCTCCTGCTAATGTTCAACCAATTGGACCATCAACTACATCTGCTGAAGTTGCTGAACAACAAAAATGTTTGAAGAATAATGAAAAGAGGTGCATGAGGGAACTAAGAGGTGCTCTACCTCTTGTGGTTTACAATTACATCCGTAGTTGTAAAACAACCAAGGAGATCTGGAACACTCTAAAAGAGAAGTATCAAGGTAGCGAAAAGACGAAGATCAATTCTGTGAAGCAATGTCTAGTTGAACTGAAGGAGCTTATGTTTCACTGCAATAGGTATGGAATCACTAAGTTTCTCATGGAGTTCAATTTAACTTTCATTATGGGACTTCGCAAGGAATGGCGAAGTGTAAGTATGATGATTAAGAATCAATAGAGTTTTGATACAACTCACCTAAATGATCTCTACAATCAACTGAAAACACATGAAAGTGAAGTTTCAGAAATGTATGAAGAATCAAAACAGAGTATTGGAGGTCCTTTGGCTCTTGTTTCAAAGGTATCAGAAGTTGAAGTTAATGAAAAAGATGGTTCAGATAATGAAGGATTTTTTATGAACTCTGATGATGAAGTTGTAGCATTCTACTCAAACAACAGAGTTATGAAATTTGTCAAAAAGCCTTTTAATCCAAAAGGAAAGGAAAATGATGCGAAGAGTGGAAGTGCTAAAGTTGGAGGTGAGGAGAAGAAGAAAATGGAGAAAGCTGATGAGAAACAAAAAAAAATGCAAAAGAAATGAAGAAGCTGAAAGGTGAATCAGGAATTTATTGTCACTACTGCAATGGTGCGAATCACTTCGCAGCCGATTGCATGTTGCGAAAGAAAGAGGAGAAGAAGGAAAAAGTTAGAGATGAAGCTTACTATTCAGAAAAACTCGAAGAAGTGCGTGCAAAAGCGAAAGGAATGTCACTGGTTGCAAAGGGTGAGTCTGATGAGGAAGAGAGTGGAACGTATCAGATCTGGTCTTCAGGGTCTGATGACGAAGAAATGAGGCATCCCACACATGGAGCTATGCTCGCAAGCTTTGAAGATTGCGAAAAAGATATTTCAGGAAGGTGTTTCGTATCCAAATCCATAGACAAATCACCCATGACTACCAAGGTACGTGCTATACTAGAATCTTTTAATATTCCTTTATCTGCTTATGATGCTGAAATCACTTCATTTGATGATACTATGGCTTATTTTGATTCTGTTATTGTGTCTACTAGTACTGAAGCTCAAAATTTGAATAAGCAACAAGGTGAGACACAAAAGGAATTAGAAATAAAAAGGAGCAAAGTAGAAAAACTTGAATTACAGATCAAAAATGTAAATTGTGATAGGGATAATCTTACAAACGATGTTAGGTTGTTGCTAGCACAAAGGAACATATACTGTAATTTTGCTAAACGAATGTATGCAAAATTAACTGCTTTACATCATTCTTCTGACATTAGCAAAGAACAACATAGGAAACTTTTACCTTTTCTTGAATATGAACGTGAAAAAGTTGATGTTGTTTCTTTTGATTGCGAAAGCACAATTGCTCACTTTGACAAAATACCTGATGATAGATATGCATATGGTATTGTCAAAATTGATGAATTTTTGAATGCTGATGAGTTGGTTAACATTGTCAATGAAAGTTTGACAAAGAGTGAACAAGTGAAAATATTAAAGAAAACCAAAACCTTGAATCTTGATTCTCAACTCAATTATGTTGATGTCAATGACAATTCAGACAATGTGAGTGAGATCAGTGAAATTGAAGAGGAAGAAGAGTTTGATTGTTCTAAATTGTCAATCATTAATATCATATCTAAGATCAAAGGTAAAGAAATTATAGTTGGTTCAATAGTAGGGGATGAAACTGAAAAACCCTCTACTTCGCAACATTGTAATTTTGATAATGTGGAAGTTGAAAGCCGGAAATCTGATGACACTAATGAAAACAAAGAAGATGTGAAAGATTCACATGAAATACCTCCACGAGTTGTGGTTGATCAAGTGTTTGAAAATAAAAAAGAATTTGATAAAATTTTAAATAACAAAGGTGCACATTATTTGGAAACCAACACTGTGGTATATCCAAATTTTGTATGCACTGATAACACCATTTTCCCAAATCAAGTTTTTGTCACTACTGGGAATGCTGAGAAAATTCATCCTGAATTCAACAAAATGATTGAAAAAGATAATCAAAGATCAACTACTAAAGGTTTTTTCGCAAATCAAAACACAGAAGAAAACAATTTAACTCAAAATCCTTATGTGTTTCAAAAACAAAAATTATCACAAAAATGGGTGATTAATGGTGCAAAAGCAAACAAAGTTTTTGAAAAAGTTGAAAAACCAAAGGCTGAAGTGAAATTAAATTCTCATGAATTCAAATTGATGGTTGGAAATTATTAAACAAAAAATAATGTTTCAAAAAGAAAAGCAAGAAAAGCAATCTTTTGGCAAGTTATGTCTAATGACAAACCAAAAGTTGAAAAAGAACAAATTTCAAATACACCATCATCAAAATTTCAAAGCAAAACTAAACAAATAGATACAAGTTTTCACAAACCAATAAACTCTGTTGATAAAATTCCATATGTTCGAAAATATGACAACAATAGCAAATTTGAGACTTCGCAAAAATTTGTAAAGAATCAAAAGTTTCAAAATGTTGGAAAATTCACGAATAATTTATCAACTTTGAAAAATTCAACTCAAACAAAAGTGAAATTTTCACCAACACAACCAATTTTTCCAAATCCTTCGATGTCACAACTAGAAATTTTTGTGCCTTGTAACTACAACACTTAAGTCAAATTATGAATCAAAGACATGAAAGCATGCATGATACTTACTCTATGACAACAAAATTTCAATCAAACACTTCATACAAGCACTACAAATAGTCAACAAGCAATTGGAAACCCTATGAGTTCTTGTTTAAGTCCATTTTGGACTAGGAATTTCTTATTGGGCCCAATGGACCAATAAGCTTCCAATTTTACCATATTGGGCTTAGAACTCTTAAATGGGCTCTAATTGGACCCACTTTCATTTATTTCAATATTTTGGGCCATATTGGGCCTAGAATGAAATAAATTAATTATATGAACCATTTTGGGCTATAATTAACCTAATTTAGCCCTAATAGGTCATAAAAACTACACTTTAATTTATTTAGGTCAAGCATCATCTAGCTTAATTATAATATGGGCTTAAGGGAAAAAAAGCCCAAAAACCTCCTCTTTCCCTCTCCATTCTTGGCCCAAGCCCATAAAGAGGAAAGAGTTGACTTTGTGTGTGCCACCTCACAATTATTCAAGGGATTTCCATGAAATTACCATACTTCCATGATACAACCTCTTCTTCTCCCTCTCTCTCTTGCTCTCGACCGATTCCAAGCACACACGCACACATTTCACTCACTATTCTCTCAAGAAACTCTCTCATTTATCCTCCATATTTTCGAGATCTAAGACGAGTTCAAGGGCTTCTTCCATAAAAATCATCATCTAAGGTAAGAAATTTCTTAGATCCATAAGCTAGCTACTTCATTTCATCCAAAAATCACCTCTTAATTCATTAAAACTCATGATCTAGCACTTAAGAAGCATCCAAGTTCGAAATCTTCCAAAGAAGGTTTCTATGGCCGAATTTCTTCTCATTTTTCCTTCCAAAACCACAACCACACCCAAGGTGAGCTTCATACCCCCTATTTTTCTGTTTTTATAAGTTTTTGTGGGGGAGAATACAAGCAAATGTCTAGATCTATGAGTTCATGTATGCCTTGTGTGATTTTATGTTTGTATGTATGATTTTATGTGCTATGTGATGAATATGTTAGTCTAAAATACTTAAAAACCAAGATCTACAAAATGAGGAATGAAGCAAAAATATCTTATACCATTTTACACTAATCAAGTCAATAAAAATAATTTATTTGGTTAGGATGAACATTTTTGGACATAAAACCCATTTTTGGGCTCAAATT